GAAAGGGGTGGGAATCCACAGCCAATTTCAAACCCACAGACTACATGGGACCCCACATACAATCCAAAAAGGAACCATTACAATGCACAGGTCTGGTTTGATGGTCCTGGGAGAAGGATCGCTACTAGACAAACCAAATAGTTCAGGGGTGGGCAAAGGGGCCTCGGAGTGGGAGGAGCACACGAAGTCTCTCATTCCATGCCCCTGCCCTTGCAGGGTGAGGGCAGGGAGCAAGAGACTTTGCATGTTCCTCCCACCCCCAGGCTCTGATTGGCCTGAGGTTGGGGGGAGCTCGCAAAGTCTCCTTCTGCCCTGCAAGGGGGCAGGTGCCTAGAGGGAACTGCCAGCTGTTCAGAACAGCTGGCAGTTCTCTCTAGGTGGGGCAGGGGCAAAGCCTTCACTTGATCCCCCACCCCCAGGCAAATCAGAGTCTGCGGGAGTGGGAGCATGGAAATGTCCTAGCCCCGCCCCTTCCACCAGAGGCCCTGCCTCTTCTGGAGCGGCCCAGGTCCACTTCAAAAATTAGCAAAGTGGCCCCCTGTCTAAAATCACTGCCCACCCCTGCGGTAGCTGTTTCTTATTTTGGCCATGTCTGACTGGACTTCTGCTCATCACAGCGACGACGGAGCGTAGGAAGGGGTCAGCTCTCTGTAACCCCTCAATGCCACTCTTTGCTTAGCTGAAAGGAGCCACTGGAAGGGAGCGTGTAAACACGTGCATTTACACACGCCCCATTCCAAGGCCCAGCTGGCTGAAGCAAAATGCAGGACAATGTAGCACTTTAAAGACTAACAAGATGGTTTATTAGATGATGAGCTTTCGTGGGCCAGACCCACTTCCTCAGATACTACTTTCTTCCACTATTTGATCTGAGGAAGTGGGTCTGGCCCACGAAAGCTCATCATCTAATAAACCATCTTGTTAGTCTTTAAAGTGCTACATTGTCCTGCATTTTGCTTCAACTACCCCAGACTAACACGGCTACATTTCTATCACTATTCTACAGCTGGCTGAGACACATCACAGCAGAGTTGGTCTGTAGGGCCAGCCACAGTGGCTGTTTTTCTAAAAGCATAGAAAGGGTTGCATGTTCTAGTGGCCTGGAATACTGTGGCTATAAACCTGATCCTCAGAGCAAATATGAAGTTTGAGATTAGACAAACGTCATCTCTTGCTGTTGACTTGACTCTTAACCCTTAGAGAACAGAAAAAAAAATAGTCCATTTCCCCCGTGATCCCCTTTCACAGCTACTGAATCTTCCTTCTCCCCAGCATCGTGGACAACGCTCTATTCTCCCACCAGCCTGTGGAGGCTCAGGACGTGGTGGTGTCTGATGCGCATCTCCAACCATCTGTCTCTTTCTACGTCAGCGTCCGAGAGTTTCGTGGAGAGCTGACTGCAGAAAGCCTGGTTCCCTAGGGACCACTATGCTCCAGACCATAACAAACTTGTGGCAGCAGAAAGAGGACTCAAGGGTCAGGACACATTCCAGCGCAGACACCTTCCACATCCCACCTCCCTGCTGCAGGAGATTTCCACGGCAGCCCTCCTCGAAGATGGGCAAAATCGTCCATAAGCAATCAGCTCAGAAGCAGTATCCACCGGGGCATGAGACAGCTGGCTGCAGATTACCTTACCAGCACTGACAGGTTTGGCTGCTCTTGTGTGCTTTGGATACATTTGTTTAAAGCTTTATGCATTCCAGTCACCGCAACAGAGTTTTTCCCCTGGACTTTGAACACTTCAAGGTTTCCTTCCCTTGAAGGGCTGTTGGTTGAATCTTTCGACTGCTTTATTGCCTACTTCCTTCTTTGGGAGGAAACTGGCTATTCTGAACGCCTGATACAGATCCTACCAAAAAGGAAAAATGTCACAAACAAGTAACAAAAAAGAAGCCAGACTCATCGACAGAGAGTGTCCAGGCAAATGCAAACTGTCCCCAGTACAGAGCATCTGAAATGTGGACGAATCCGCTGAAAGGAGAATTGCAATGTTCAGAGATCAAGAGGCACTGCTTCAGGGGACCAAACAGGGTACATCTACCCTGGGGTATCTCCGACATCTTTCAGGGGGCAGATCAACTCATCTAGACACCAGCCCAAGGCAGCAGTCCCCACCCAGGAAATCGGGATCTAGTGCTAAATCCTGGAGCCTCAACAAGTGATTCTGACTGGTCTGACCAGAGGCTATCGGGTGCCAGCACTCCACTTGCGCCTTTGCACACTTCCCTCTGCCGGGGCGCTGCCCCTGGAAGTCTCCTGCTTGCTCCGCACGAGAGGATGGGGTGCTGATATCAGGGTGTTCTCCTCCCACCGCCCCTGTACCCAGTCTGCACAGAGCGAGCAGGCGCAGAGCCTCAGGGAAGGGACAGGGAAGGAGACAGAGCAAGGCTATTTGGATTTGAGGTAGATCCTGGATCGACAAATACAAAACGTGAACTTGCGCTTAAAAAGACCACTGGCCTAGGGTTACAACAGGCTTCATAAAAAGCACCAGTGAAGCTAGTACAAACTAAGATTTCATTCAGTAGTTTCTTTGTGCTGCAAGGGAGTAGTTGACTAGCCAATAAGTCTAGGCTTACCAGTTAGTCGAGGCAACTATTCACATTCCCCCCGCCACCTCTGTATCAGAGGCAGCTGGGGGTGGGGGAAGAGGAAGCAGGAGCCAATGTTGGGGGTAGCTGGCTTAAAGGCTGGTTCCCTCCAGTACTATCTCTGCAGTGTTGCCTGCCCCCACCCCTATCCACCCTCCACGCTGTCGCCTATCAGAGGCAGCAGTGCAGGCAGGTGTGAAGCAGCCCCTGTCCATGGGGGGGAAGGGGGGAGAAGACCCAGCAGAGAGCTGGGACACCCCACCACCATGGACAGGGGCTGCTGCCAGAAAAGCCTCTGTTCATGGTCAGCCCCTCTCTGCATTACACCTGCAGAGCTGCAGCGGGGGATAGCTCCTGGACCTGGCGCGAGCCGTGACTGATGCGTCCTCCCTTATCGACTGGTCGTGTGGGCGACAGAATTTCTACCGACTACACGATTAGCTAATTCCTCACTTCCCAACATCCCTAGTTTGTGCTGCGCTACATGCTATACACCGAAATGTCAAAACAATATTTAGGTGCCGACTGAGGTATTTTGTAACTACACAGTACAATGAGAAAGCAAGCAACTGGCCAGTAACACCAGGCTGTGACACTGGCAATTTTACATCCAGTACTGTCTAGACCATCCCTGATGGACATTTCTCTAACCTACTCTTAAATATCTCCAGAGATGGGGATTCCACAACCTCTCTGGGCAATTTATTCCAGTGTTTGACCACCCTGACAGTTAGGGACTTTTTCCTAATGTCCAACCTAAACCTCCCTTGCTGCAATTTAAGTCCGTTGCTTCTTGTCCTAGCCTCAGAGGCCAAGGAGAACAATCTTTCTCCCTCCTCCTTAGGACACCCTTTTAGATATCTGAAAACTGCTCTCATGTCCCCCCTCAATCTTCTCTTTTCTAAACTAAACAAACCCAATTCTTTCAGCCTTCCCTCGTAGGTCATGTTCTCTAAACCTTTAATCATTCTCGTTGCTCTTCTCTGGACCCTCTCCAATTTCTCCACATCTTTCTTGAAATGCGGTGCCCAGAACTGAACACAAGACTCCAACTGAGGCCTAACCAGCGCAGAGCAGAGCGGAAGAATGACTTCTCGTGTCTTGCTCACAACACTCCTGTTAATGCAGCCCAGAATCATGTTTGCTTTCTTTGTAGTTTTTAAGTGAGATGAAAGTGGGAGGGGAATGCAAGACAAATCAGACTCTTGAAAGGAACACAGTAGACTGGAAAGTAGGGGTATTACTGGGTAGTCAACTACACAATTAACCTATCGACTACATACGCTCTCTCCCACCATTGCTGCCTGGGGGAGCAGAAGCCCATTCCCGTGAGGAGCCAGCTTTAAGCAGGCTCCCAAAGAGCACTGAATCTGTCTGTCACCCCCCCTCTGACGCTGCTGCCTCTGAAAGAAAATTGTGCAAAGGGCAAGGGGGCAGGCTTTCAAGCAGGCTCCCCGCACATGCCGGCTCCATGGACTCTCCTGCCCCCCATTTACTGCCTCCTACAGAAGCAGCAAGGGAGGGGGGTAGGCAGACATCCCACCTGCACTGGCTCCTATCAGAGGCAGCAGTGAGGCGGGGGGGGG